AAATTACGGGCACTGCAGATGGTAACTTTTTTTCATTAATTGAAAATTTACATAGTTTAGGGTGGAAATATCTGCACTCTGTTCCAAAGTAGCATGTACCCCTCCCCAACATGTTCCTGCATTTTCCAGGATGCATAAAAGTGAATTTTCGTCTTTGTGCCCATATTTGCATATTCTCTGTGCATAGTATTTGTAAATATTCTAAATTGTTATTTTTTCCGGTTATTTATACCTGTGCTCGTCTTGCCCACTTCTTGATTGGAGCCATTTCCGTTTTTTTACTTAATTTCTTCGTTCACACATTCCTTCTCACGGTTGCTCTCATTGTTAATATTACCTGGCTCTGCAATATTGCTGCTGTTATGTACTACGATACACTCTCTCTCTCTCTCTACACTACTGCTGTGGTTCTCTAAACTACCAGTTCCTGAGTTTTGGTCATTGTCCAGTGTTGTTTTTCACAGTCCACATATATTGCTTATATTTTTTCTGTGAATGTTAATTTGTGTGCCTTAGGTGTTACATTTATTAGTTGGGTTATGTTTTTCTATATTAAGCTGTCATTGTTGCAAATCAAGGATATTTCTTGTCTGTTTGTGCATGGTTATCTTGAGGTTATCTTGAGATGATTTCGGGGCTCTAGTGTCCCCGCGGCCCGGTCCTCGACCAGGCCTCCACCCCCAGGAAGCAGCCCGTGACAGCTGACTAACACTCAGGTACCTATTTTACTGCTAGGTAACAGGGGCATAGGGTGAAAGAAACTCTGCCCATTGTTTCTCGCCGGCGCCTGGGATCGAATCCAGGACCACAGGATCACAAGTCCAGCGTGCTGTCCGCTCGGCCGACCGGCTCCCTCCGGTGTGGATAATTCTACACAGCTCAGGTGAAATCTTGCGTTACGGATGCAACACTGGACGACAACAATATGTCTTCCAAATGTTTCCAAACACTTGCCACACACTCCCTTGTCTGATGTATTATATTGTATTTGTGCTTCATCGTGTGTATCCCTTGTTTTCCTTAGTATTTTATTATTTATAATATTATGTTTATATTTATATTATTATATGCATCTATTTATAATATTAAATGTATACGTTTCTATTTATATGTTCAAACTTTCTTTGTAGGTACTTATGGTATGGTAAGAAGTAAGGTAAGGAGTTAATGGTGAGGAGGCCTGGTCGACGACCGGGCCGCGAGGAAGCTAAGCCCCGAAAACACCTCAAGGTATGGCAGATGAAGGTGGTCCCAATGGGTTGTACAGTTGACCGTTGTTGTCCCAGGTCGCTGGATGTGACCAGTTGCCAGTTCCGTGATGTATAACATTGACTTATTATCGCTCTGTATTACCATCAGGAATTTTCTGTTTAATTTCCCACTTGCAATGATATTAGCCAATTCTATTATTTTTCCAAGATTCACATGCCTGTATTACAATATATATTCACAGTGTATTATTACTGCGGGACGTCCCATACACAGGGTAGGCCTCGTGGCTTGTGTAAACACAGCCTAGCGTGTTACCTCATTCTGGCACTATTTTACATTTCTAATTTTCCATGTGCAATTCTCCTACACTTTCGACCTATATATCTGCTGTGTTACACGTTCCATTTCACTGTTCTATGTACCAATGTTCACTATATATCATATATATATCGACTATACACATGTACACATCAGCCTCGTGGCACTGGCTCCCACGTGGTCCCACGTTCAATCTATATTTAACACAAAGTTCCATAGTTAATCACTGTATTCAACTTTCCTACAGGTCATTATACACGTTGTGATAACTATGATCAATGTTCCATGGTTTTAATCCTCCAAATCCCAGACTATTTCGAGATTTTAATGTAGCGCGAACAAACAGTCTCTCCTTCCCCACTCTCCTCAGAACCCCCCCCCTCCCCCCCTCCACATAAAGCAATCGTCAAACACAAAAACACATTGCTAACAAAAATATTGCATTATGTGAATGGAGAAACTGCGGGTTAAATTCAAAACCTATCTCACTATTTGAGAATGTTCCTGACGCCTGGAGTGAGAATGTTATTGTCCCGCAGAAGCCCAACACTGTCAGTGAGAAATGATGCAATCATAGGAGGCTCGGCGCCGGCACTCAGAAGCCTCGCCTCTATACATCCTTTGCCCACAGACCAGAATCTTTCTTATGTGCGATCTCTAGACAAGGATACATGATAATACTTTTCTGAACAATCTCTGCAACAGATTATGGGAGAAATCACGCATCTTTATTATCTGAGTCAGAAAACACACGATGTCTTCCCAATGTGCATTCTATGTACTAGGTCTCACTATGAATATTATTTCTACACAATATTTAGAGACAACATCTATCGAAATTGTTACACTCTCACAATTTAACAATCACTACTGCGCAAAACCATTATCACTGAAGCCACTATTCACTATCTTCATCACTGCAATCACTTTCACTACACACACTTGTCATTGTTGTAAACATCTTCACTGAACACTCTTCACCTCAGAAACTATTTTTAATACACTCGACCTTCATCATTGCAACCCTCTACACTACATACAACCATTATCGCCTTAACTATATACACTAGCTGGGAATAAATAAAGCAGTTGGACCAGATGAAGTTTCACCTTGGGTGCTGTGAGAATGTACAACTGAGCTGAGCAGTCCACTTCAGTTGATACCCCAACATCTTTGGACACAGAAATCTCAGTAGATAAATGGGAAAAAGGTAAAAATAGTTCCAATCTACAAAAATGGTAGCAGAGAAGACCCTATAAATTATAGATCCGTATCCTTAACAAGAGTGTTTGTTCAAAATACTGCACAAAATAGTTAAAACCAAATGGGTAGAACATCTGGAGAGTAATGGCATAATAATGGACAGACAGTATGGTTTTCGAACAGGAAGAACCTGAGTAACAAATATTCTCAGTTTTAATGATAGAACCACAGAGATACTACAGGATGGATACTACAGGATGGATGGTGATGGTTGGGTTGACTGTGTCTATCTAGACCTAAAAAGGCTTTTGTCAAAGTCCAGAGGGGTGACAGGGAGACTTCTGATATGGCAGAAAACATTTCTGACAGATGAGGGCGCTAATCAGAGGCAATATATCTGGCTGGAGGACTGTTACTAGCAGAGTACCACAGGGCTCAGCTCTTGCACCAGTAATGTTCATCGTCAACATATATGATCTACCAGAAGCAATACAGAATTAGACGAACATGTTTGCAGATGATGCTAAGCTATTAGAGAAGATAAGAAACCTAGACGATTGTAATGCCCTTCAAATTAACCTAGATAAAATAAGTGATTGGAGCACCATGTGGCAAATGGAACTCAATGTGAATAAATGCCATATTATGGAATGTGAAGTTGGATAAAATACACCAAACACACCTTACAAATTAGGTGTAAAGGACTTAAACAGCTCTAAGAAAGTGATCTAGGGGCGGTTCTGGATAGTAGACTGTCATCAGAGGAACTAAAAAAAAAACATTGTGCAAGGAGCAAATGCTGAGCTTTCCAACTCCAGGATCACTTTTAATTACATGGATGGTGACATACTAAAGAAAATGCTCATGACTTTTATGAGACCAAAATTAGAATATACAGCAGTTGTATGGTGCCCATATCTCAAGAAGAATATCAATAAACTGAAAAAATTACAAAGGTATGCTACTAAATGGCTTTTAGAATCGTAAAATAAGAGTTATGGAGAGCAGCTAGAGGCATTACATATCTGAAAACTAGAAAAGAGAAGAAAAAGACACGATATGATCACCACTTATAAAATAATGACAGGAACTGACCAAATTGACAAAGAGGCATTCCTTAAACCAGCAACCTCATGAACGAGATGAATTCAATCTATGGAAAGAAACGTGCAGAAAAATTATTAGAAAGTTTACTTTTGAAAAAATTGCAAACAGTTGGGGCAAGTTAAGTGCGAAAGTTGTGAAGGCCAAAACCGTCAGTGCTTTCAAAGCGTTATATGACTTAAAGAGCTCTAAGGAAGTGATCTAGGGGCGCTTCTGGTTAGTAGACTGTCATCAGAGGAACTCAAAAAGAACATTGTGCTAGGAGCAAATGCTGAGCTTTCCAACTTCAGGATCACTTTTTCAGATCAATTTTCAGGATCACTCTTATGAAAAAATTGCAAACAGTTGGGACAAGTTAAGTGCGAAAGCTGTGGAGGCCAAAACCGTCAGTGCTTTCAAAGCGTTATATGACAAAGAGTGCTGAGAAGACGAGACCTCTCTTGATTGCCACTTACCTACCTTATAATTAGAGCCATCTCCATTTTTTGTCCTAATTTCTTCGTTCAGGGATTGCTGGCCTGGCCGCCAGAGCGTCTAGACGTGATCGCCAAGCACTCCCCAGTCGTTGCTAGGCGTTCCGTGTGGGAGGGCGTTGTTGTTGCGTCGACGCCATGGGGACCCCCCTCCCCCCTATTCGCCGCTCTGAGACCGTGGGTCTGGAATTTTCTGGACGTGCTGTTGGATATGCTGCGTGTTCGTCTTGCCGATGTGTATGGGCTCCAATTGCTGACCACCCATCGGGCACTTGTCAAGTTTGCCTCCGCTCCTGTCTAAGGACTTTGTGGCTCGTTACGATGAGCGCTCATTCCTCTCCCTGGGGACGGTGGTACCGTCACTATCTCTGACCGGTGCTGCTCGGTAACGTATGTGGCCCTGTATGGTGTGCCGTTTGAATTCACGTAGGCTTCGCTTCGATGGTACTTTGGCCAGTTTGGAACTGTCGTTTCTATCTGGATTAACTCTGTCTCTGCCGGCAGGTGGCGTGGAGTCTCGTGTGGGACCCGGACTCTCGGCCTGCGGCTCAAGTCTCCTGTTCCCTCCACGGTGACCTTAATGGGCTACACTATGCTGGCGTTCTATGCAGGGCAGCTTCGACAATGTTTTCGTTGTGGCGTTGAGGGGCATCTGGCAGCTGATTGCACTGGGGTCGCGGCTGCACATGTTAATTTGTTCCGGGATGAGGATTTTCCCCCGTTGGTGGCGTAAGACCTGTCGCCTCGTAATGAAGTGGGTTGGGCAGTTCTCCTGCCGCCTGCTGACCCGGTGGTGGTTCTGCGTTCCTCGGCTGTTGGCCCGGCATGTGTGGATGGTAGTGTACACGACAGGGTGGTGGTGTGTGCCGCTCCGACCCCACAGTCTGTCTCGTCGCTTCCAACAGATTCTTCACCTGTTTCCGACTCTGCGCCTCTGTCGCCTTTGACGTCCCTGTAGGCTCCCTCACCTGTGTTGGTCCCTCCTCCCACGGCCGAGCCTGTTCCTTCTCCTGTTTCCTCTGTGGGTGGCGGCCTCGTCTCCCGTGGTGTTGAGGCTGACATTCTGCGGGGTCGTGTTCCCCCGGTTGTGGGGCGGCCTGCCGCCAGCTCCTCTCGGGGGCCTCCTGCAGGGGGTGACAGCTCCGATGATCAACGGCCTTCCCCAAGCATTCCAATACAGATGCGGGTGCTTTGCCGCCTCGTTCATGGTCAGAGGAAAGTGAGGATGCGGCGAGTGTTGATGTTTCTTCTGGGAGCTGTTCCTCTGTGGAATGCGAGGATGGTGCGTCTGGTGCTGGTGTGGGTCCGGTGGATGGTGTGTGCCCGTGTGTTGCTCCTGCTGTTGGGGTGGGGGCCCGTGTGGGGCTGGTGACTCTCACTTTGGGCGCGTCGCCTGCGTTGGATGGTTCCGGTTCCCCATGGGGAGTGGTTCCCCCTTGTGAGATTGAGAGTGGACGTGGCGACCTGGTGGTGGTCTTAAAGAAAACTGCTTGCTCTGAGGGTTCCGTGCCCCCTCCCCAGTCCCCTGTTTCGTCGGCGACGGTTATGCCGCCCCACTCGTCTCCGGCCATTTCTTCTGTGTCTCCTGCTTTGTCGGAGGCGGTGTTGCCTCTTTGGCAGCCTCCGCCTGCTGTTCTGGTGTCATCTGCTTCTTCAGCGGCAGTGTTCCTGCCTCCCATGTCGGGGTCTTTGTCTTCGGTGTCCTGTGGTTGGGGGCGACCGCTTCCGCCGGATGTGGTGATCTCCGAATATATGGAGTACCCGGGGTTGTCGTGAGGAGTATTTGAATACTCCCTACCTAACAGGAGTATTTGATATGGGAGGCTTATAAGCGGAAGTACCCGTCGTGGAAGTTCCTTGAGAAATATCCTCCTTGTTGACAATTGTGTTTTGTGGTGTTGCTCACACATGGGTGTGTGGGTGTGGGGTGGGGTTGCATGTGTGTGTCCGAGTCGGGGGGGGGGGGTTGTTTTCCGGTTCCTGCGTGTTCAGGTTTTTTGTTTATGGGTTTGCATGTGTGTTCGTGTCTTTCTGTATATATTCTGTGTGGTTTTATACTTCCGGCTATGTGTGTCTTATGCGTGGCTGGTTGTGCTATTGAGCTGCTGTAGTGGTGCGTTTCGTGTGGTGATGGTTTATATTATGTACTTGTGTCCTTACAGCCTTTAGGTCGTTTGCATGTTTTTTGTGCTTTTTGTTTGTTTTTTGTGCTTTCAGTTCCCTGTGTGGTTCTGTTTTCTGTTATTAATGCCTTGTGTTTCTTGCCTTGGGTATGTGTCCTGTATTGCTTTTAGCTTTGTCTTATGTGCCCGTGTTGGGGTCTGTTTTATGCTTTGTATCATGTGTATTCAGCTTTTGATTATTCTTGTGTTTAGGTTCTTTGACTGTTTTCTTACTGTATTCTGTGTATCCTGTATGTAGTCATGGTTTTCTTTGTATGTGGTTTTCTGTCTGTACTTTGTGGTTTTCTTTTATAAATAAACAAAAAAAATTCTTCATTCACTCATTCTTTCTCCCTGTTGCTCTCATTGTTAATATTACCTGGCTCTGCAATATTGCTGCTGTTATGTACCACGATACACTCTCCCTCTTCACTACTCTTCACTACTTTACAGGATGTGAGCTACGCTCTCATCCTCTAACTACACTTAGGTAATTACTACATACAACCATTTTGACTGGAATAGCTACACACTATATTACTGTTTGCACTTTTACTACTTTTATCTCAGTGTCCACCTTCGCTACACACTATCTTCAGTACTGAAACCAACTTCACGTAACACGACTTTCATGAATGTAATCCTAAAAACTTCATACGAACATTATCACAAAAATAGTACTCACTTTTTTCATCGCTGTAACCCCAGTCATTACACACACCCTTCATCCATTACCACCTTCACTACATACTCCTCTCATCATCATCATAACCATCTTCACTAGACACTCTTAACCAATATAACAAACTGGGAAACAAACAAGCTGGGAAAGGTCCAAAGATATGCAAAGACTTCCGAGGGTGCACGATCACTCAGTCCACCAAAAGGGTAACCTTCAAATACTTTGGTCGTTTTGGCAAGCGAGGAAAAGCGTATAATAATGTAACACAAGAGTTACGAGAAGAGGTTACAGGCATTATATTTGCCAAAACTAAACAGTAGTGAGAGTCCACTCTGAACCACCAGCCAGGTCGGACATTCTTGAGGTCTCTCTGCTGGTGTTTACACTGGTTGCTTCTCGGTTGCCCTGGCGAGTTTTTTTTTTATTCTTAAAACAAAGTAAAACAACGTACATGCAACCATATAAAACAGTAAAGCACAGAATAACAAGAAGCACAGAATGATAACAACACATAATAAGTAACACAAAGCAACATAACACAAAGAGGAAACCAAAGAACAATACAAATACATAGGAAAATACATTAAATACACATAAAAACAGCTAGCCAAAACAACACAAGCAGTGATCCATAAAGCACAAACACATGAGAAAAAAAAGAAAACAAACAAACAGAAATACAATGAAACAAACAACAGGAAACATGAAAAAGACACAGAATGACATGGTACAAAATAAATACAAAACTAGGAACAAGGCAGCCTGAAGGGCCACACAAGCATTACTACAAGCCAAGACAGACAGGAAATCACAACCGGAAAACACAGGAACCGGCAAACATACACACACACACACACACACGCAAACAGCCTTAGAAACAACATAAGCAACAGAACACAAAACATACACAGCACAGCACAACAACCACAAAACAGCGCATGTGGAACACACACACAAGCACACCGCCCAACAGGGCGAACCCAAACATGGAGAAAAAACAAACATAAAACCGCAGACACGGTAACAAAAACACAGAGTATACAAGTAAACACAGACACTAACGATACTTGTCTGGAAAATCCTTTGCTGGGAAGCGCAAGCAGTACGCTTCCCAGATCAGCTGGACGTCTTCGGACACCGGTCTACCAGGAGACGCACAAGGCCGAGGCATCCAATCAGGCACCCCATAAATAAACCCCTGTAATCTCGGTACCTAAATAGTCGACGAGCACCACGGGCCCTCACGCACCCTGTCTTCCCAAACGAGGTCCAAAATCCGTGACTTAGGGACCACGCTCCCATTGGCCGCGAGCACAGGGAAGTGATCCACACTAGATGGTATCGCACCGGTATCGGCACTGGGAGGATCCCCGGGCGCCACACGAGGCTTCTCACGAGGCCTCTCACGAGGCTTCCCACGGGGCTGCACACTAGGGGAACCCGCAGAGGACACAGACGAGTCGGAGCCCCCGCCACCGAGCATAGGAGCAGAGGAACCTTGGCGCACATCCTTCCGTAAGATCACGACGAGGTCCCGGTCGGCAGGAGCAACCTCCCACCGTGGGGAGTCATCAGCATTAGGCATAGGGGGCGACTCCGGAGGCAGCACAGAGCCCCCCACAGCACCGCCAACATCGGCAGGAGAAGAAGAAACATCAACCCTCGCATTCCTCTGCCCACGAACGAGGAGGCGAAGCACCTGTATCCGTACGCGAACGCTTGGGGAGATGCCGTTGATCATTGGAGCAGTCACCCCCAGCAGGAGGCAACCGCCAGCGCCGAGAGGAGCTGGCGGCAGGTCGCCCCATAGCCGGGGGAGCACGACCCCGCAGAACGTCAGCCTCAACTACACGGGGGACGAGACCGCCACCCACCGAAGAGACAGGAGAAGGAACAGACGCAGCCGTGGGAGGAGGGACCAACACAGGTGAGGGAGCCCGCAGAGACGTCGGAGGCGCAGAATCGGAACCAGGTGCAGAAGCCGGTGGAAGCAACAAGACCGACTGTGGAGGGGGGGGGGCTGCACACACCACCACCTCGTCTTGTACACCGCCATCCACTCACTCCGAGCCAACAGCCATCACCGGGTCAGTAGGTGGCAGAGGAACCTCCCCACCCACTCCATCACGAGGCGACAGGTCCTGCGCCACCAACGGGGGAAAATCCTAGTCCCGGAACAAATTTACAGGTGCAGCCGCGACCCCAGTGCAATCAGCTGCCGGATGCCCCTCAATGCCACAACGAAATCATTGTCGAGGCTGTCCTGCGTAGAACGCTCGCATAGTGTAGTCCATCAAAGTCACCGCAGAAGGAACAGGAGACTTGAGCCGCAGGCTGAGAGTCCAGGTCCCACACGAGACACCACGCCACCTGTCGGCAGAGACGGAGTTCATCCAGATGGAAACGACAGTCCCAAACTGGCCAAAATACCGTCAACGCAAAGCCTCCATGAATTCAAACGGCACACCATGCAGGGCCACATACGTCATCGAGCAGCACCGATCAGATATTGTGACGGTACCACCGTCCCCAGGGAGAGGAAGAGAGCGCCCATCATAACGGGCCACGAAGTCTCTATAAACAGCAGCGGAGTTAAACTTAACAAGCGCCCGATGGGTAGACAGCAGTTGAAGCCCGTACACATCGGCAACTCGCACACGCAACATATCCAACAGGACAATCTCAAGGGCCAGGTAAGACGCACGGCCAGAAAATTCCAGACCCACGCTCTCAGAGCGGCGAATACGGGGGAGGGGGGTCCCCATGACGCCGACGCAACAACAACACCCTCCCACACGGAACGCCTAGCAACAACTAGGGAGCGCCTGGCGATCGCGTTCAGACCCCCTGGCGGTCAAGCCAGCAATCCTCCATTGCCCTGGCGAGTGGTCGTTGGCCACTGTGGGGGTGACTGTTTCTCAGTGTCAGTATGGTGACTTACGTGCCGCCACTGCAGAGGAAGAAGTCGGTTGGGCTGATGTTTAACTGTAAGGTGGATATTGGAGTAGTCAGCAATACTCTTTTTGATGTTTTGAACGTGAAAGTGGAAGATCTCGTTAGTCTACAGGTCGTTCACGAGGACAAAGTGGAGGTGAAGTTCGCCGAGATTGGCTTGTTCCGGCAGTTTATCGACAAGCATGAGGATGGGAGGTGCAGCTGAGCAACGGTCGAGGCTCTGTGACTGTGACGAATTTGAGTGTTGAATACACATACGTGTCTATTAAAAATGCTCCGATTGAAATGTCGGAGGATCTTCTCTGTCGGGCTCTTGCCAGGTTTGGGTGTGTAGAATTTATTCGTGTGTGTAGGCACACGTCCGGAGGTGTCAAAGGACTCATTAATGGTTACAGGTCGGCTAAGATGGTTCTTCGTGGAAATGTGCCTTCTTCTCTATTGATTGCTGACTATACGGTTAGTTTCTTCTACCGGGCGCAGACTCGGATATGTTTCAAGTGTGGTCATGTTGGCCATATGGCTGCTGCGTGCACCACTCGGATGTGTAAACGGATTAACCTGTTTAATGAAAATGATTTTCCTCCTTTGCATGACGATGAAGATCTCTCGGTTCTGAGCAGTGCCCCTTGTATGAGAATGGATGCAGTGGTGGTTGGCGCCGATCTGGGTTCTACGAGTGCTGCCTCCTTGTTTTTTTCTGGTGGAGATGACGTCCGTACTGATGTGTCATCTCCCGGACGGTCTGGAAGGGGGTGTTGATCTCCCTCCAAGCCCATGCGTGCCCGTGCAGGCCGGCACCGAGGGCGAGCATGCTGCGACTGCCAAATCAGGTGAGGTGGTAGATGCAGTGGTGGGCATTTCACCGGTGGATGTGTGCTCC